GCCAAATTTTCCTAACTGCAATAAGCAGGAAAACAGGTCAGGGGATGTGATGTCTCATCCAACACCAACAGGCATCCCAGGTTTCAGCAACAAAAACAGCAGAATGTGAACCACTAGCTATCTTTAAGAACCCAAAAATTGCTGACAGACCTTCCGTAGCTCATCCAATTCGTCCTCTACACATTCGTCTTCAAGAATATCAAAAAACTCGAGATAGAATTTTTAAACAATCCCGATCATCTTTGCGTGCTAGGAAGTTTTGGAAGGATGCGAAAATTAAACAAAATTCGTTATCTGCAACTACCCTAAGCAAACCAGGTGATATAAGGCCTTATGCTGCTATTCAAATCCTCGGAAAAAACGTGTTGGGTCTACTCGATTCAGTAGCCTCGGTCAGTTGCATAGGTTCAGTTTTGGCTAAAGATGTTCTCGCTACGGACGTCGAAATTAAAAAAACTAAATTCTAGCTTACATACAGCCGACGGCAGCAATCAAAGGGTAGTTGGCGCATTCGAATTAAATGTAAATTATAAGGAATCCATTAAGTCCTTAGTCTTCTATATTGTACCCAGCTTGAGCCAAGACTTATACTTAGGCATTAACGTTTGGAAATCTTTTGCGATAGCACCCAATATTGTTAGCGAGCTAATCGACGTTCCTGCCGACGGCAACATGCACATATTATCGGCGATCCAGGAACAAAAACTTAGGGCAGCTGTAAGACTTTTTTCTTCATTTGAAGAACAGGGTTTAGGAAAGACCAGCTTCGTAGAGCACGTTATTGATGTAGGTTCGGCAAAACCAATTAAGCAGCGGCATTACCCAATCTCTCCAGCTATTGAGAAACTTATGGAACAGGAAATTGATCGAATGTTGGCTCTGGGAGTAATTGAGGAGTCAAATAGTACATGGTCATCGCCGGTGGTGCTAGTAAGAAAGCCAGAGAAGGTTAAGCTTTGTTTGGATAGTCGCATGGTCAACTCAATAATGGTGAAGGATGCTTATCCATTGCCGCACATTGAGGGAATATTGAGCAGGCTTCCTAGCGCAGAATTTATATCCAGCCTGGACTTAAAAGATACGGTACCAAACCGACCCACTATGGGCTAAATCACATTTTTTTTGTTTAAAATCTAATATAACGAGAAGGAAAAGAGCTAGCGCAATAATTTTTTGTGTGAATAAAGTTCAAGTCATGTCGGTTAAAGGAAAACTAAAGCGAACGTCAACACGCTTTACTTGACGGGTTAAAATGAGGGGCGAAGTTGACCATGTTCAAAAAATTTATGACCTTTCGATTTTCTTTTTGCTGTATCTCAGAGGCGAATCACGATATCGATACAATTTTTGTTTTAAATAGTAGTAAATGAAATGTACATTAAGAAAAGGGTTATTAGAATACCATCAACCCCTAAATTCAGGGTTGAAATAAGGGGTGAATGGCTAAAACCCAGAAAATTCACTGAAAAACCTTATAGTGTTTTCATAGGTGCCGAAAACGATTCCTATAATTACTTCTGCAAGGATTGATTTATTGGGATATCATCAACCCTTCATTTGGAGGTTAAAATAACGGGTAAGTTGCTGAAAACAAGAAAATTCTAGAAATCGATGTCCTTTCGCTTTTCTTTTTGCTGTATCTCAAAGGAAAATCATGATACCGATACAATTTTTTTTTTAATTGCAGTAAATTTAATATAGATTAAGGAAAACCTTATTAGGATACCATCAACCCCTAAATTAGGGGTTGAAATAAGGGGTGAATGGCTAATACCCAGAAAATTCACTGAAAAACATTCTAAAGTGTTTTCATAGGAGGCGAAAACAATTTCCAAAATTATTTCTGCAAGGTGTATTTTATTGGGATACCATCAACCCCTAAATTAGAGGTTGAAACAAGGGGTGAGTGGCTAATACCCAGAAAATTCACTGAAAAACAGATGCTAGAAAAGACTGCCGAAAGATTATGCGTAGCTGTTACATCAGATTGGCCCAAAACTGCTATGAATAGCATAGAGTTGTCGGTAACGACTGGATTTGATGGTGCCTCTGGCTATGTTAACCCTCAGCAGAAATTTTACGATGAGGAGAATGATGACCGAAGTCCTTATCAGTCGCTCTTTGTATGCATCAATCCTCATTACTCCTGTCTTCAGGGTCAGTCCACTGTCTGAAAATGCGGTTTTATTAGTTAAATAATTATATTTATAAATATAGTTATAATTAAACGTTTTTATCTTACCCTGGCTTCAAAAATCGAGTAATATCATTAGTAAGTGGTCTCTTCTTATGCATTTCTCGCCTTCTGTCCAAATAAACCATTGCACAGTGTTCCGTCTAGAACAAGCTAGCTGGACAAAATTATTTTCTAAGATTTTACGTTTCCTCTATATCCAAGAACTCAATTTATGTAATTTTATTAACAAAAGGAACATTTTTTAAGAGGGTTGCCACCTGTTGAAAAAGTGAAATTCAGTTTTAATAATAAAATATGACAGTATAGGTGTCAAACGAAAGAGGATTAAAAAAATATTATTTCGGTTGCCACCCTTCTAAAAGCCCAAATTGGATTATATAAAATATTTTAATAAAATATTACGATATGGGTATCAAACGAAAGAGGTTTAAGAGATCTTTAGTTTGAAGAAGGCTATCAATGGAAAATCAATTAAATCTATGAATTTATACCTTTATCTTCCTATGCTTATTTGAATTTGTAAGGAAAAACTAAGTGAACTTTTCAATGCAACGCCTCAGTAAATCGCTTAGAACAAGCTAGCTGGACAAAAATATTTTCTGAGATTTTTAGTTTCATATCGTTGGCTGAGTGGAAGATCGACCTATCTCGGCAGCCAGTTCGAAAACGCTCTATCTCAGAAAAATTTTCAACAACGCCCTGTCTCAGAAAACTTTTCAAGAACGCCCTACTTCAGAATTTTTTTGAAAAACACCCCATCTCAGAATTTGGTTGAATAACGCCCTATCTGAGAATTCGGTTCAAAAACGCCCTATCTCGAACGAAAATACATTGAAAATAAGCTGAAATAGGGCGTTTTTGAATCGGCAGCTGAGATAGGGCGTTCTTGAAAAGTTTTCTGAGATAGGGCGTTTTTCAACCGTTTTTCCGTCAATCATTGTTAGGAGCATATTGTGGTTCACAGAAACCTCGTATTCTTGCACCAAGCACTTTGTTGGCAACAAAGCATTTATCTCCTCTAATACTTTGTTCGTCTCAGAAACGATAAAATCTTTTGTTTCTGTGGAAAAAATAAATTTAATTGGACGACAATACATCGTAGATGAAGGTCGAGGATTCTGCCAAACAATGTTACCTTTTTCGTCCCGTAATTGGACGGGTACGAAAGAAAATATAAACAAAAACTCATAAGTGTCATCACTGCATGTGAATTTTTGTTTATATGTGCTATGACCAGAACTTCCATCGCAACCCCACTTGCTGATTAGAGTAAATGACAAGCATGTAGGTAACAAACTACTAAGAACTTCTTGATTTGCTAAAATTAAACGTTCAACACTTTTATCTAAAATAGCTTGAACTTTAATTTCGGCACGTGTTTCATCCACATCAATTTTGTTTGGACAACACTCTGATTTAGCCTTTCTTACACTGTAAAACGACGGAAATACCTTATGACCTGCTTGGATACTCCACTTCCGAGTCATTTTGTACGCATGAGTAGTCGACTTGCTATCTACATAGTATGCTAAAGCTTCTACACTGCTCAAACATCTAGCACTTTGCTCACATATTGTTTTCGCCGTGGATACTTTAGTGTTAACTTTCGCATTTTTTATAATATTTGCAATATTCCTGTTGCCGGACATACGTGTTGATACTTCTGCCGCATAAATTAACTCATCTGCACTTCTGGACTGCAGTAAGTCGACGCCGTTTAGTTTTTTGACTGGAATGAATGAAGTCCTTCTTTAGTCTCCCAGGGCCTGGGTTACCTAAAGATGTAGCTGGTAGTTCTGATGGCAAGTTTAAATGTACAGAAACTGTAAAAGTCATATCTGTACCCGAAAACTACTCCGAGTTTTTATTTATAAACCGTCCCCGATGTCTTCCAGAGCTCTTCCATTTCTCAGAAAGCCTTGACGAATATGCCGCAACTTTTATGGTTAAATCTCTTAAAGAATGCTCCGTTACTTCACTTAAATCATATTTTGATAGAACAAAATTTAATAACTCTTTATTTCTTGATTGTTTCGAATATTTCAACCAAACTTCGAAAAACTCAATTCTTTTTATGGTTATAACTAAATCTGAAAAAAATAAAATAAAATAGATGTGCACTGAATTCGCAATGGTTTTTTGTTTCGAGTGTTAACAGATACTCATGACTATAATATATATACATAAGATTTCAAGGGGTTACATGAGGAGACATATAACTTTTCCACCTCTGAAGTTGAAAATGTATATAAAAAATCGTTTTTTTCTTAATCATGGAATGTTAGACATACTAAAAATAATCAAATTGACAAAAGATTATATTCAAAAACTTCAGCTTACCTTTGAGTTCAGATTCCATCACAAAAATTAAGTAGAAGTGGTGACTTAAAGTTATATGAAGCGTAATATTCAAAACAAATTTTTCAAATAAATCAGTTATGACTTCGACTGCTCTTGCTTACTTACTTCAATTACTCAACATATTAGAAGTGAAAATAACAAACAAGTGTAAATACCCCGTTATATTGGTCTTATGATTAATTACTCAATACAAAATTCTAGGTATAAAACTTTTGTTTTTGTCCACCTAGCTTGTTCTACACGAAACACTGTGCATTGAAAGGATTGGGTCTGACAAGTATACTGCCCTGTTGAAAGTGTCCAGGATAGCGTTTTCTCTACTATTTCTTCTAGAATGTTCCCGAATTGTCTCTCTGTGTATTTTGTGCATACTTTCGAGAGCATCTTCCGCATAAAATGCAACAGGCATTGGAAACTGCCGCACAATATCAGGACCATGTTGTCAAATTTTATGCATGGAAGGGTTCATGCGAGCCCATGCATATTTTATATAGTGGAGTTTATAAGTAAAATCACTAAACTTTTTAAGCTCCTCTACTTCAATCTCCAACGCACTTCTATAAACTTTAGTGATAGTAGCGAGATTGCAAACTAACTCCTCGTCAATATCTAAAGCGTTGGCAAAGTGTTTGGGTCTATCAAGGAATTTTCGGGCAAGATTTCCATTGTTGGATGTCCCTTTGCCTTGTATTACTTGATCCACTCTGATTTTAAAAGCATTATATAATCTATCTCTCACTTGACCAGCGTACAAATCAACAGACTCTGAAATTCATAAAATCCTTATTAATAAATTCATTAACCTTCTAGTTATTGCCATAACAGAATAGCAGTGCCTATGTACCTTTTATGTTTTTGGTGACATCCCATACTTTCACTTCTTGTTTATAAGCAATATGAAGCAGATGGTCGAAAATTTTTATTTCACAGTGTAAAAGGCCCAAGCCATGGGATAGTGAGCCTTCCTTTGGTATGAAAACATTTTGATTGTTGAAATTGTGGGATGTTATTAGACACATTGGGCATCTTTGAGTGGCTTTGTTTCCTACAATCGCGTTCACATTTTTCCCATCGAAAAGGGTTCTTGATACTGAAAATTCAACCATCACTGTAACGCCTTTGCCCATTGTAAATTTGAAAGGCTTAAGGTGTTTAATTTCTTCGCCCAAACGATTGTATTCTTCGAGAGCCATTTCATTGTCTTCTTTTTGATGTGCGATTTTCAAGGGCCGAAAAAAACGGTAGCTTTGAGGTGTAGGATTATTCCAGAGGTATTTCGGACTGGACAGATTTTTAAGTTGGATAATTAGAGCTCCGCATACAAATAGCGACTGATATGGACTTCGGTCATCATTCTCCTCATCGTAAAATTTCTGCTGAGGGTTAACATAGCCAGAGGCACCATCAAATCCAGTCGTTACCGACAACTCTATACTATTCATAGCAGTTTTGGGTCAATCTGATGTAACAGCTACGCATAATCTTTCGGCAGTCTTTTCTAGCATCTGTTGCATTGGAACGGATACCTCAACCTTTTGTTAAAAATTATGAAAATATAATTTAGAAACAAACTCCGAATTCCTTTACTCTAAGTAAAACGGCAATTAAGCAATTAATAAAATCATCCTAATTTTCTATATAGCATTCTGAGTGTTGTTAAATCGAGTGCTAAAGTCGCATACACGAAATGAGGAGATGCCTCGCAAATACAGAAATTATAGCTACTGTTCAGATTTTAACAAATTACTTTAAAAATTATCGTGAAAGGTAATTTTGATTATTAAATAGAAACAAAACCTCAGATATGCTGTAATCCTTTGGACAACAGTCTCCTTTAGCACGTCCAAGAGTACTCCAACAGGGAAAAATCATCCGCCGACATCCGCGATCTTTTGTATCTTTCGCTAATATGTCGTAAGAATAATTTGGATAATTTAAGTTCCAAGCACAGAGATAAAGCTGATTCATTGGTGTGCTCTTCAACTAAATTACAATTTTTATTTTTAGTGTCTTTATCACGCGACTCGTCAACTTCCATCGATCCTTCGAAGCTTGTATCATTTAGTAGCCTCGTTTTAATAATTTGTAAAGCCATTTCTAACACTTCAACCTTATTGTAACGTTCATTGTTTGATAGTTCCACTGCACGTGACCTTATTGTACTAGGAGAAGCTTGATGAATCACAGCAGGTTTTCTACCAGCATTTGCTCTGAACCTGGGTATTTTTCTAGGTCGCCCTCCCATTCTTGCTCTATTACGAGTATACATCATTCGAGATTGTACTATTTGTTTTATTATATATTCTCAGGTGTGCCCAAAAATAATTGCGGTTCTCAATTCAAATATAAAAACAATTACTAATAGGTAAACGCGGTTTACGAAAACACTACTTTACGCGTATTGTTTGTTCTAGCACGAATCTCATAAAAAATTTTACTATATAGGTCAATCTCAATGACATTTGTCATCAAATGAGTTAAAACACATTGTGAAATTGGCTCGAAAGCGATCTATCGTTTAATTAGATTAGAATAAGTAGATCTTCAGTCATGTACATGAGCTGCCAAATCGAATAATAAGCTTTTCCTTAATCTATATTAAAGTTACTACAATTTAAAAAAAATTGTATCGGTATCATGATTTTCCTTTGAGATGCAGCAAAAAGAAAAGCAAAAGGACATCGTTTTCTTGAATTTTCTGGGTTTTAGCCACTCACCCCTTGTTTCAACCTCTAATTTAGGGGTTGATGGTATCCCAATAAAATACACCTTGCAGAAATAATTTTGGAAATTGTTTTCGCCTCCTATGAAAACACTTTAGAATGTTTTTCAGTGAATTTTCTGGGTATTAGCCATTCACCCCTTATTTCAACCCCTAATTTAGGGGTTGATGGTATCCTAATAAGCTTTTCCTTACTCTATATTAAATTTACTACAATTAAAAAAAAAAATTGTATCGGTATCATGATTTTCCTTTGAGATACAGCAAAAAGAAAAGCGAAAGGACATCGATTTCTAGAATTTTCTTGTTTTCAGCAACTTACCCGTTATTTTAACCTCCAAATGAAGGGTTGATGATATCCCAATAAATCAGTCCTTGCAGAAGTAATTATAGGAATCGTTTTCGGCACCTATGAAAACACTTTATAAGATTTTTCAGTGAATTTTCTGGGTTTTAGCCATTCACCCCTTATTTCAACCCTGAATTTAGGGGTTGATGGTATTCTAATAACCCTTTTCTTAATGTACATTTCATTTACTACTATTTAAAACAAAAATTGTATCGATGTCGTGATTCGCCTCTGAGATACAGCAAAAAGAAAATCGAAAGGTCATAAATTTTTTGAACATGGTCAACTTCGCTCCTCATTTTAACCCCTCAAATAAAGCATGTTGACGTTCGCTTTAGTTTTCCTTTAACCGACATAACTTGAACTTTATTCACACAAAAAATTATTGCGCTAGCTCTTTTCCTTCTCGTTATATTAGATTTTAAACAAAAAAAATTTGATTTAGCCCATAGTGCGACCCTTGTATCAGTTTAAAGTAGTGCCGTTTGGGTCATGTAATGCCCCGCAGACCATGTGCTGCCTAATGGATGGGGTTATACCTTACAACTTGAAAGAAATGGTATTTGTATACTTAGAAGACCTTCTTCTTATATTTGAAACGTTCGACTCTCATATTCAACTTTTACAAGAAGTCGCTAGCCTTATTCGCAGCGCCAATTTAACAATAAATATAGCCAAAAGTCATGGTGTAATGAACTGAACAAAAAAAATTTGCATCGGGTTGCCACCATTTGAATAAAATCACATGTCACAGTGTTTGCGGTCAACTCCTCCGAAACGGCTTGACCGACTTGTATGACATTTTTTGTGTATATTTGGAAATATATGAAAACAATCGCGTGCTCATGCAAAAAATGATTGTTGTTGGAAAACCGAATTTTTCATGTCGCATATCTCTGCAAGTGTTCATGGTTGAGTACTCGAACATATAGTAGTATAGAGATATACCAAATCAATCGCATACTCTTCGAGAAAATTGGGGATATTTAAGAAGGGGGCGCGGCGTCTTCCAAACGTACTGAAACTATTATCTGTCTTTGGATGTAGATATATTCATATAATACTTCTAATCGTGTGTTTGTGAGCGACTCGATTTTAATCCGAGTTTGACCTGCCAGGTGCCGCTGGAGTCATGTATACATACATACGTACATACTTAGTAAATCAAAAATTCATAAGCGTGCAGCAACGTTATTGACCAACTACCGCACAGCGTTTGCCAGCTGCCTCCACAAAGGTCAAGTTGGGTTAGTGCTCGAAAACGCACTTCTACAAGTGAGCCAGCAGCCAGCATTGCGTTTGTGGCATGCAATTGCGTCAAGCGAGTGCATGAAAATTGCGTGCCGCCACATTTTGACTCTGCAAGGAATTGTACCCTTCATCCCCTGTTCCAACACTTAATCACCAACAGTTGAATGATAGTATTTCAAAGTATTTGGTTTTTATTTTGTGTGTTTCTTAAACTACTTTGAATTTTATTTACGCCGACAACTCAATTTATTGCCATTTTCCTTTGTTTACCTTTATTGTTTCTTATTTCCGCTTTTGTTTCTTTATGTGCAATATTTACTTAATGTTGGTCTTAGCTGTTTCCTGTTTTCAGCTAAATGGGCCAAATTAACGTACGTTTTTCGAATAAGGTACGAGTACTTCGTAAGTTCGAAAGCTAGTGCCGATGAGAGAAAGAAAGAGAGAGAGAGAGATAGAGAGCGAGAGAGGAAGAGAGAGAGAGAGAGGGTATACCTTTTTATGAGCACTTTTTTTCGAGAATTGAGATATGAGATGTGCAGAGAGAGTGGCTTGGATAAAACTAGATGAGACGACAGAAAATTTCGAATTATGTATGTTAATGATTGCTATTACGAAAAGATTGCCGGTATGAATGAAAGTTGTGACCAATTAATGTATTTTTCAAACATACCTTGGCTGGGTAGTTTCACTAAAAAGATTACTAAAATAAGGCAAGTAGATTCAAAAAATACATAGTTTAAATTTGTTTCGTATAAAATTTTTTTAAGTACATGTTTTCCACATGCAAGCTATGCACATACAAGAGTTTGAATAACAACATCAACTGGTACCAAGACACACTGAAAAGGTAGAGCAGCTGATTTTTTTTATTTTTTAGTTTTCCTGTAGGCACGCCAAAATGAAAAAAAAAGAAAACGCCGAGGCAGGTAAACTAAAATTTGGGTCGCAGATTACGGATCTGTTTGCCGTTTTCCTCAATCAGGTCATTTCCCCAAGATATTTTCATTTTAAGTTTGCATGGCGATTGAGAAAAATTCAGATTTGTACGCGGATGTACGATATGGCGTATGAGTAATATTATTTCCTGCTAAATTTGATATACAAAATTATTGGACATTTTCATTTGACCGTTCAAAGGTTATGTACTTATCCATCGATTTTCATCGATAGTAGGTTAAATGGAAGAAAATTACAAAAAATAAATTATTCTTTTTAAGTTTTGCTTATTATACCCGAGCGCACTTGTGCACAAGGGTATTATAACTTTTTTCACATAACGGTTGTTTGTAACAGCCAAAACGAATCGAGATAGATATAGACAAATGTATACATAAATTATCAGGATCAAAAGAGAAATCGATTAAGCGGTGACTGTCTGTCCGTCCGTCCGTCCGTCCGTCCGTCTGTGCACACGATAACTCGAGTAAAAATTAATATATCTTAACGAAACTTGGTACGTGTACTTCCTTTGGGCGTAGGACGGACGGTATTGAAAATGGGAAAAATCGGACAATAACCACGCCTACCTCCCATATAACGGTAATTTTCAGAAATACGAAACCTGCGATATTTTAGTAACTACTGAAGATTATTCACTCAAAATTGATATTTACAATAATTTTTAGACGCCCACTTATGGTTACATTTGTATATCTTGGCAACTGCTGCACCGATTTCTTCCAAACTTGGCACAGTTATTGGCCTTGGTACGGGATACCAAATGGCCGAAAATTTTTTAAATCGGACAATAATCACGCCCACATCCCATATAACGGTAATTTGGAGAAATACGAAATCTTCGATAAATCAGTAAATATTAAAGCTAATTTATTCAAGAATGATGCTTGCAACAATCCTTTACCAAGAAATACGCTTATGATAAAATTTTGGAAAATGGGCGTGACACCGCCCACTTATGGTCACATATATGTATATCGGTAACCGTTCAGCCAATTTGTACCAAACTCGGTATTTTTATTGTGCTTGCCACACAACGTTGAAAATTATTGAAATCGGACTAAAATTACGGCCGCTTTTCATATAACGGTAAATTTCAGAAATGCTTGAAACTGCAATATTTCGAAATTTAAGGACGCTAATTTACTCAAAATTGATACACCCCGGCTAACCATCTAGCGGTAGGTTACGGAAAGGTGAAAAAACATTTATTTAATATTTGCGCCGGGTATTTAATGTTCGGCTCCGCCCGAACTTAGACTTTCTTACTTGTTAAAGTTTGAATTT